GATTTAAGTATAGGGCCAGTAGATGTAAGTATAGGGCCAGGTGATGTAAGTATAGGGCCAGTAGATGTAAGTATAGGGCCAGTAGATGTAAGTGCCAGTAGATGTAAGTATAGGGCCAGTAGATGTAAGTATAGGGCCGGTAGATGTAAGTATAGGGCCAGTAGATGTAAGTATAGGGCCAGTAGATGTAAGTATAGGGCCAGTAGATGTAAGTATATGGCCAGTAGATGTAAGTATAGGGCCAGTAGATGTAAGTATAGGGCCAGTAGATGTAAGTATAGGGCCAGTAGATGTAAGTATAGGGCCAGTAGATGTAAGTATAGGGCCAGTAGATGTAAGTATAGGTCCATTAAATCCATGACCCCCATCTGGACCTGCAGACATCCACCAGTCGACCATCTACTCTGAGATCTCAGTCCCCCAAAAACGAACATGCCTGATACATTGTTTGAATTGAAGTCTTGACATCAAATAAAAAAATCTCCTGGCACCAAGGCTTCAGATAGCCTAGAGGCTGCTGGGCTTGTTCACCTCAGATGTTTGTGTGTAGGTCCCGGGCCCGGGGTAGTTTCAACTGCGACATGTTTACAGATTGTTATATCGTTGTCCACCCCCACCCTCACTACAGATTTCTATATCGTTGTGCCCACCCCACCCCCCTACAGATTTCTATATTGTTGTGCCCACCCCACCCCACCCCCACCCCCCACCCACTACAGATTTCTATATCGTTGTGCCCACCCCACCCCCCTACAGATTTCTATATTGTTGTGCCCACCCCACCCCACCCCCACCCCCCACCCACTACAGATTTCTATATCGTTGTGCCCACCCCACCCCCCTACAGATTTCTATATCGTTGTGCCCACCCCACCCCACTACAGATTTCTATATTGTTGTGCCCACCCCACCCCACCCCCCACCCCAACAGATTTCTGTATCGTTGTGGCCACCCCCACCCCCCTACAGATTTCTATATCATTGTGTCCACCCCCACCCCCACTACATTAACGAATTGCGTGCCCAATATTCAATAGTTGAGTTAACCAGTTAAAAGTTAAAAACTAACACGTTAAAAAATGTGTTACTTACTTGATTTATTAAAAGTTTAAATCCTTTGAATATTTCTTTCATCAAATAATCCAGCATTTGAAGTATTTAATCCATTAGTTGTACAAAGTGTTTAATCCGTTGTGCGTTTAGCAAAGTGTTGAATCCGTTGTGCGTTTAGCAAAGTGTTTAATCCGTTGTGCGTTTAGCAAAGTGTTTAATCCAGTGATGTTTAGCTACCCACCTCCCCCCTCAACCCGGCACCAAGAAATCATGTTAGCGCTAACCCTAACCCATGCTTGAGACCGCAGACGATTGGTTCCGCTGACCACACCATCAAAGCTCGTCTGTGAGTGAGCAGGACTCACCTGCACACTGAGCCACACATAGCGCTCACAACTCACCAGCCGCGCGAGAAACAGCAACCCCGCTCATCTGCAAGGGACGGTACTCCATTCAAGGGGACGCCACTCGACCAGCACTGCCAACATAATTGACGCCACTATTATTTCATAAAGTTCATGTACTTATTACCCTCTCCGTGCTAATGAATTAATTCTAGGACTTTCATGTCAAGCTACCCAACTAAGTATTTAAAAAAAAAAAAACACAACATTTGTGAAACAATCAGCAATAACGGGTTGAATAAAAAAAAATCCAATAATTTTTGGACTTGACCATCGGTAATAATAGAAGATGACGTCATTTTGAACGTACCAGCTGCAGCCAGCAAGGGGGGGGGGGAGTTTTTTTTTATACCCCATCAATACTGCTCATGGGTAGATCTATCGAAGAAATGAATCGATTACTAGGCTTAAGGTATTGATTATTGGTTCTGTCTCGGTGTACGCGTTGAAGGGAAAGTATTGACTGGCTATTGTGAATGCTGTCTCTGTTTGGTTAGTGTTAAACATTTACAGGTTAAACTTCTACAGGTTAAACTTCTACAGGTTAAACTTCTACAGGTTAAACATTTTCAGGTTAAACTTCTACAGGTTAAACTTTTACAGGTTAAACTTTTACAGGTTAAACTTCTACAGGTTAAACTTTTACAGGTTAAACTTTTACAGGTTAAACTTCTACAGGTTAAACTTTTACAGGTTAAACTTCTACAGGTTAAACATTTTCAGGTTAAACATTTACAGGTTAAGCTTCTACATGTTAAACTTCTACAAGTTAAACTTGTACGGGTTAAACATTACTAATTAAGCTTTAAATGCATTGTTCTAAAGCGCCAATAAATAATCATTCATCTTTTTGTGTTTTGTGTGTATACACATCTGTGTGTGTTTTTGTATGTATGTGTAGTGTAGGCCTGACAGCCACACCCAATCAGCCCCACCCTAACATCCCCACCCTGACAGCCCCACCCTAACATCCCCACCTTGACATCCCCACCCTAACAGCCCCACCCTAACAGCCCCACCCTAACAGCCCCACACAATCAGCCACACCCTAACATCCCCACCCTAACATCCCCACCCTAATATCCCCACACAATCAGCCACACCCTAACATCCCCACCCTAACATCCCCACCCTAATATCCCCACCCTGACATCCCCACCCTAACAGCCCCACACAATCAGCCCCATCCAGACAACCCCACCTAGAGAGCCCCACCCTAATATTGATAGCCCTTCTCTGACCCCAAATCGATCACCAAAGGGAAAGTTTGATCATCTTCTCGCATTAGATCAACATAAGGTTGAATAAATTCTGGTCACGTGGCATTTGTTTACACTCAGGTATTCAAGCTTGAGACAATAAACCGGCATGAGATGGTGAATAGTTCAGGCCAATATACCAGCATCAGATGGTGAATAATTCAGGCGAATAGTGCCGCCTTTATGTGACAATATACCAGCATCAGATGGTGAATAATTCAGGCCAATATACCAGCATCAGATGGTGGATAATTCAGGCCAATATACCAGCATCAGATGGTGAATAATTCAGGCCAATATACCAGCATCAGATGGTGAATAATTCAGGCCAATATACCAGCATCAGATGGTGGATAATTCAGGCCAATATACCAGCATCAGATGGTGAATAATTCAAGCCAATATACCATCATCAGATGGTGAATAATTCAAGCCAATATACCAGCATCAGATGGTGAATAATTCAGGCCAATATACCAGCATCAGATGGTGAATAATTCAAGCCAATATACCAGCATCAGATGGTGAATAATGCAGGCCAATATACCAGCATCAGATGGTGAATAATTCAGGCCAATATACCAGCATCAGATGGTGGATAATTCAGGCCAATATACCAGCATCAGATGGTGAATAATTCAGGCCAATATACCAGCATCAGATGGTGAATAATTCAGGCCAATATACCAGCATCAGGTGGTGGATAATTCAGGCCAATATACCAGCATCAGATGGTGAATAATTCAGGCCAATATACCAGCATCAGATGGTGAATCAATATACCAGCATCAGATGGTGAATAATTCAGGTCAATATACCAACATCAGATGGTGAATAATTCAGGCCAATATACCAGCATCAGATGGTGGATAATTCAGGCCAATATACCAGCATCAGATGGTGGATAATTCAGGCCAATAGTGCCGTATTTATGTGACAATATACCAGCATCAGATAGTGAATAATTCAGGCCAATATACCAGCATCAGACGGTGAATAATTCAGGCCAATATACCAGCATCAGACGGTGGATAATTCAGGCCAATATACCAACATCAGATGGTGAATAATTCAGGCCAATATACCAGCATCAGACGGTGGATAATTCAGGCCAATAGTGCCGTATTTATGTGACAATATACCAGCATCAGACGGTGGATAATTCAGGCCAATAGTGCCGTATTTATGTGACAATATACCAGCATCAGATGGTGAATCAATATACCAGCATCAGATGGTGGATAATTCAGGCCAATAGTGCCACCTTTATGTGACAATATACCAGCATCAGATGGTGAATAATTCAGGCCAATATACCAGCATCAGATGGTGAATAATTCAGGCCAATATACCAGCATCAGATGGTGAATAATTCAGGCCAATATACCAGCATCAGATGGTGAATAATTCAGGCCAATATACCAGCATCAGACGGTGAATAATTCAGGCCAATATACCAGCATCAGATGGTGAATAATTCAGGCCAATATACCAGCATCAGATGGTGAATAATTCAGGCCAATATACCAGCATCAGATGGTGGATAATTCAGGCCAATAGTGCCGTATTTATGTGACAATATACCAGCATCAGACGGTGAATAATTCAGGCCAATATACCAGCATCAGACGGTGAATAATTCAGGCCAATATACCAGCATCAGACGGTGGATAATTCAGGCCAATAGTGCCACCTTTATGTGACAATATACCAGCATCAGATGGTGAATAATTCAGGCCAATATACCAGCATCAGATGGTGGATAATTCAGGCCAATATACCAGCATCAGATGGTGAATAATTCAGGCCAATATACCAGCATCAGATGGTGAATAATTCAGGCCTATAGTGCCGTCTTTATGTCCATAACATGCTATTTTAAGTAGCGCTGGTAATATAGTGGTTCCACATGGCTGGTGGTAAAATAGTGGTATTATAGTGGTGCTACATGGTTGATGGTATTATAGTCGTGCTACATTGTTGGTGGTATTATATCGGCTGTCATAATTAAACAAACTACAATGTAAGACGACATTCAGTATTGATTTATTGATTTCAAGTAAAAAAAATATAAATGTTTACATATGAAATTTCATTATTTACAAAATAGTGTTACAGATACATTATGTTTGAACAAACTTATTTAACCAATGATGCACAGTTTATAGGAGAGTTTGAACTTAGCAAGATGAATGGAGGACAGTGTAAATAATGATTCCCAGAAGTTTCAAGAGGACATTCTCCTCCCTCCCGCCCCACCCCTCCCACCCCCGACCCACCTCTATTGGGACCTTTCTCAACTTCCTGGTGCCCAAGACACCCAAGGTCACCACTAATTAGACTAATTAGAATTGAACACGTTCACGATTCGATTGATTATTTGAACTTCCCCATCACCACAACAGTTCAGTGTTGTCCAGTGTCAACCATCGCATGATCGCAGAGTGGATCATCGATCTGCTGATCGAAGGTGTATCTTTATTGATCTGCTGATCGATGGTGTATCTTTATTGATCGGCTGATCGAAGGTGTATCTTTATTGATCGGCTGATCGAAGGTGTATCTTTATTGATCTGCTGATCGAAGGTGTATCTTTATTGATCTGCTGATCGAAGGTGTATCTTTATTGATCTGCTGATCGAAGGTGTATCTTTATTGATCGGCTGATCGAATGTGTATGGGTCATTGATCGGCTGATCGAAGGTGTATCGTTCATTGATGTACTGATCGAATGTGTATGGGTCATTGATCTGCTGATCGAATGTGTATGGGTCATTGATCTGCTGATCGAATGTGTATGAATCATCGATCAGATCGAAGTTGTATCGTTTATCGATCTGCTGAATGTTATTGACTGCCCGATGCAGACATCGGTGTCATGTTAAAATCAATAAGTTATTTGTGACTCGATATTAAATTCCATCAAGGTGGCTGGAAACCGGCACTGTGGCCGGCATTCTGTGACCGGCACTGTGGCCGGTATTCTGGGGCCGGCATGCTGGGGCCGGCATAATTTGACCGGCATTTGGTGGCCGGACGAAGAGTTCACGAGAATTCAGCATTAAAGAAGGCAGCAGAAACATCATCCGTCAACATAAACTTAGAAATAACATCAACATCTCACATATCACACATCTCATACATCACACACATCTCACACATAACACACATCTCACACTTCAACAACATCTCACACGCACATCGCACAACTTGAAACTGTCATACTTCAAATGACATCACTCATGTTACATCATCATACATTATTCAATGTCAGGTAACATCACACAAACAAAATCACACAAGAATCAAGCAAATCACACATCACTCAATATCAGGCACCATCACACACACTAAATCACACAAAGTATCCAGTATGAACAAGAGAACTGTCACGACTCCTGAACATCAAGACATCCCACATCATTCACTCACACTTTGTGAAGGTGTCACATCTTTTCTGGTGGTGGCACATCATTTGTGATGTTATATCACCAATTAAAAGTTTATATCAACACCTGTATAGTGTGAAAAGTTATAAAATGTTTTTGTAAACAAGGCAATAGTGTTGTGTGGTGCTGCCTGTCTGCCCGGTATATCTGGGGCAGCTTCTGTCATCCTTGTGATGTCTGGACTGTAGGGAAATATATTGTCTCCCTTTTGTAGGGACATATACTGTCTCCCTTTTGTAGGGACATATACTGTCTCCCTTTTGTAGGGGCATATAGTGTCTCCCTTTTTTAGGGGCATATAGTGCCTCCCTTTAGTAGGGGCATATAGTGCCTCCCTTTTGTAGGGGCATATAGTGTCTCCCTTTTTTAGGGGCATATATTGTCTCTCTTTTGATATTAAGTTAGCATGACTGTAAGGACAATGATTTTCTCCCTTATGATATAACATTTGCTGGACAGTTGGCACATGATCGTGTAGCTCAGCAGGACTTATGTAGCGTGGAATTGTTGGCCTGACTTATGTAGCGTGGAATTGTTGGCCTGACTTATGTAGCGGGGAATTGTTGGCCTGACTTATGTAGCGGGGAATTGTTGGCCTGACTTATGTACCGACTGTGTCCGTCCCTCTTCTCAATCCTAAACAACAAAACGCCTCTCTTCTTAGCGTGAAAACTCGGCACTTCCGCTTTGGTCACGTGTGTCTTGCAGGGGCTCCCCGAGTTGTCCCCGCCCCCCACGCCCCGTCTGGCACCCGCCTCCCTCTGCTCCAGCTGGCACATCCTCTTCAGGTGGGTGGACTGGCCAATGGTCAGCCGGGACGTGGCGTACCTGGCCTCTCGTGCGAAGGTTCGAACCTGCCTCTCACACTTCCTGCGCAGGTCCTCGTGTTTCTGCAGGATCTGGGCCTTCTTGGCGTGGTGCCGCATGGATTCGAACCTCGCCTGTTCGTCGAAGTAGCCTCGTGCCATTGTCTCAACTTTGAATGCTTGCATTCTGCAACAAGAATGTAAGGCATGAATGATCTATGTAAGAATGTAAGGCATGAATGATCTATGTAAGAATGTAAGGCATGAATGATCTATGTAAGAATGTAAGGCATGAATGATCTATGTAAGAATGTAAGGCATGAATGATCTATGTAAGAATGTAAGGCATGAATGATCTATGTAAGAATGTAAGGCATGAATGATCTATGTAAGAATGTAAGGCATGAATGATCTATGTAAGAATGTAAGGCATCAATTATCTATGTAAGAATGTAAGGCATGAATGATCTATGTAAGAATGTAAGGCATGAATGATCTATGTAAGAATGTAAGGCATGAATGATCTATGTAAGAATGTAAGGCATGAATGATCTATGTAAGAATGTAAGGCATGAATGATCTATGTAAGAATGTAAGGCATGAATGATCTATGTAAGAATGTAAGGCATGAATGATCTATGTAAGAATGTAAGGCATGAATGATCTATGTAAGAATGTAAGGCATCAATTATCTATGTAAGAATGTAAGGCATGAATGATCTATGTAAGAATGTAAGGCATGAATTATCTCTGTAAGAATGTAAGGCATGAATTATCTATGTAAGAATGTAAGGCATGAATGATCTATGTAAGAATGTAAGGCATGAATGATCTATGTAAGAATGTAAGGCATGAATGATCTATGTAAGAATGTAAGGCATCAATTATCTATGTAAGAATGTAAGGCATGAATGATCTATGTAAGAATGTAAGGCATCAATTATCTATGTAAGAATGTAAGGCATCAATTATCTATGTAAGAATGTAAGGCATGAATTATCTATGTAAGAATGTAAGGCATGAATTATCTATGTAAGAATGTAAGGCATGAATTATATATGTAAGAATGTAAGGCATGAATGATCTATGTAAGAATGTAAGGCATGAATGATCTATGTAAGAATGTAAGGCATGAATGATCTATGTAAGAATGTAAGGCATCAATTATCTATGTAAGAATGTAAGGCATGAATGATCTATGTAAGAATGTAAGGCATCAATTATCTATGTAAGAATGTAAGGCATCAATTATCTATGTAAGAATGTAAGGCATGAATTATCTATGTAAGAATGTAAGGCATGAATTATCTATGTAAGAATGTAAGGCATGAATTATCTATGTAAGAATGTAAGGCATGAATGATCTATGTAAGAATGTAAGGCATGAATTATCTATGTAAGAATGTAAGGCATGAATTATCTATGTAAGAATGTAAGGCATGAATTATCTATGTAAGAATGTAAGGCATGAATGATCTATGTAAGAATGTAAGGCATGAATTATCTATGTAAGAATGTAAGGCATGAATGATCTATGTAAGAATGTAAGGCATGAATTATCTATGTAAGAATGTAAGGCATGAATGATCTATGTAAGAATGTAAGGCATGAATGATCTATGTAAGAATGTAAGGCATGAATGATCTATGTAAGAATGTAAGGCATGAATGATCTATGTAAGAATGTAAGGCATGAATGATCTATGTAAGAATGTAAGGCATCAATTATCTATGTAAGAATGTAAGGCATGAATGATCTATGTAAGAATGTAAGGCATGAATTATCTCTGTAAGAAATGTAAGGCATGAATTATCTATGTAAGGATGTAAGGCATGAATGATCTATGTAAGAATGTAAGGCATGAATGATCTATGTAAGAATGTAAGGCATGAATGATCTATGTAAGAATGTAAGGCATCAATTATCTATGTAAGAATGTAAGGCATGAATGATCTATGTAAGAATGTAAGGCATCAATTATCTATGTAAGAATGTAAGGCATCAATTATCTATGTAAGAATGTAAGGCATGAATTATCTATGTAAGAATGTAAGGCATGAATTATCTATGTAAGAATGTAAGGCATGAATTATCTATGTAAGAATGTAAGGCATGAATGATCTATGTAAGAATGTAAGGCATGAATGATCTATGTAAGAATGTAAGGCATGAATGATCTATGTAAGAATGTAAGGCATGAATTATCTATGTAAGAATGTAAGGCATGAATGATCTATGTAAGAATGTAAGGCATCAATTATCTATGTAAGAATGTAAGGCATCAATTATCTATGTAAGAATGTAAGGCATGAATTATCTATGTAAGAATGTAAGGCATGAATTATCTATGTAAGAATGTAAGGCATGAATTATCTATGTAAGAATGTAAGGCATGAATGATCTATGTAAGAATGTAAGGCATGAATTATCTATGTAAGAATGTAAGGCATGAATTATCTATGTAAGAATGTAAGGCATGAATTATCTATGTAAGAATGTAAGGCATGAATTATCTATGTAAGAATGTAAGGCATGAATCATCTATGTAAGAATGTAAGGCATGAATTATCTATGTAAGAATGTAAGGCATGAATTATCTATGTAAGAATGTAAGGCATGAATTATCTATGTAAGAATGTAAGGCATGAATTATCTATGTAAGAATGTAAGGCATGAATTATCTATGTAAGAATGTAAGGCATGAATGATCTATGTAAGAATGTAAGGCACGAATTATCTATGTAAGAATGTAAGCTGATTTATATCTGCATGAATTATCTCTGTAAGAATGTAAGGCATGAATGATCTATGTAAGAATGTAAGGCACGAATTATCTATGTAAGAATGTAAGCTGATTTATATCTGCATGAATTATCTCTGTAAGAATGTAAGGCATGAATTATCTATGTAAGAATGTAAGGCATGAATGATCTATGTAAGAATGTAAGGCACGAATTATCTATGTAAGAATGTAAGCTGATTTATATCTGCATGAATTATCTCTGTAAGAATGTAAGGCATGAATGATCTATGTAAGAATGTAAGGCACGAATTATCTATGTAAGAATGTAAGCTGATTTATATCTGCATGAATTATCTCTGTAAGAATGTAAGGCATGAATGATCTATGTAAGAATGTAAGGCACGAATTATCTATGTAAGAATGTAAGCTGATTTATATCTGCATGAATTATCTCTGTAAGAATGTAAGGCATGAATGATCTATGTAAGAATGTAAGGCACGAATTATCTGTGTAACAATGTAAGCTGATTTATATCTGCATGAATTATCTCTGTAAGAATGTAAGGCATGAATGATCTATGTAAGAATGTAAGGCACGAATTATCTGTGTAAGAATGTAAGCTGATTTATATCTGCATGAATTATCTCTGTAAGAATGTAAGGCATGAATGACCTATGTAAGAATGTAAGGCACGAATTATCTGTGTAAGAATGTAAGCTGATTTATATCTGCATGAATTATCTCTGTAAGAATGTAAGGCATGAATGATCTATGTAAGAATGTAAGGCACGAATTATCTGTGTAAGAATGTAAGCTGATTTATATCTGCATGAATTATCTCTGTAAGAATGTAAGGCATGAATGATCTATGTAAGAATGTAAGGCACGAATTATCTGTGTAAGAATGTAAGCTGATTTATATCTGCATGAATTATCTCTGTAAGAATGTAAGGCATGAATGATCTATGTAAGAATGTAAGGCACGAATTATCTATGTAAGAATGTAAGCTGATTTATATCTGCATGAATTATCTCTGTAAGAATGTAAGGCATGAATGATCTATGTAAGAATGTAAGGCACGAATTATCTGTGTAAGAATGTAAGCTGATTTATATCTGCATGAATTATCTCTGTAAGAATGTAAGGCATGAATGATCTATGTAAGAATGTAAGGCACGAATTATCTATGTAAGAATGTAAGCTGATTTATATCTGCATGAATTATCTCTGTAAGAATGTAAGGCATGAATGATCTATGTAAGAATGTAAGGCACGAATTATCTGTGTAAGAATGTAAGCTGATTTATATCTGCATGAATTATCTCTGTAAGAATGTAAGGCATGAATGATCTATGTAAGAATGTAAGGCACGAATTATCTGTGTAAGAATGTAAGCTGATTTATATCTGCATGAATTATCTCTGTAAGAATGTAAGGCATGAATGATCTATGTAAGAATGTAAGGCACGAATTATCTGTGTAAGAATGTAAGCTGATTTATATCTGCATGAATTATCTCTGTAAGAATGTAAGGCATGAATGATCTATGTAAGAATGTAAGGCACGAATTATCTGTGTAAGAATGTAAGGCATGAATTGTCTATGTAAGAATGTAAGGCATGAATTATCTCTGTAAGAATGTAAGGCATGAATTATCTCTGTAAGAATGTAAGGCATGAATTATCTCTGTAAGAATGTAAGGCATGAATTATCTATGTCAGAATGTAAGGCATGAATTGTCTATGTAAGAATGTAAGGCATGAATTATCTCTGTAAGAATGTAAGGCATGAATTATCTATGTAAGAATGTAAGGCATGAATTATCTATGTAAGAATGTAAGGCATGAATTATCTCTGTAAGAATGTAAGGCATGAATTGTCTATGTAAGAATGTAAGGCATGAATTATCTCTGTAAGAATGTAAGGCATGAATTGTCTATGTAAGAATGTAAGGCATGAATTATCTCTGTAAGAATGTAAGGCATGAATTGTCTATGTAAGAATGTAAGCATGAAATTTTACCATCTGGTATTCAAACTTGCAATCAGAGTTTATTCCCGGCATCTCTTCGCCCCCCCCCCCCATCCCCAACGAAATGGAATTTATATAGAACATATACTTTTATTAGTGTCCGCCCCCCCCCACGAAAATTTCAAGAAGTGCCCCCCCCCTCACACACACACACACACCACCCCCACCCAACCCCCGGAGAAAAAAAGTCTGGAAGAAACACTGCTTGCAATTCTCGAGTATGTAAATTTCATTTAATGACTGAAATTACATCTATAGCGTTGTGTTGATACTAGTAATTCGATCCCGTGTTATCAATACAATATTGCAAAAATGTGTATTAACGTCATGTTTGTGATCACGTCATGCTTATGCTAATGTCCTGTTAGTGATGGCGTCATGTTTATTGATGACGTCTTGTTAGTCATGACGTCATGTTTTTATGACGTCATGTATCTCATCACGTCGTGTTTGCGCCTATTTTTATTTCAACAGACGTCACGTGAGACCTACAGTGGCTCAACTGCTTTTATTTCCAGATGTCGATAGATCAGATGTGCTCTGGTGGAGGTTGACCAAGAAACAAAGTGCCCATGTACCCATGTGACTATGCAATTAATGTAATGATAAAAAAAACCCAGTTGGTCTGATAACTAGGTTCACCTGTATGAAAGCTTGTGGAGGTCCTAATACCTGATTGAGTCTAGGTCCAAATGTTTGGGTGGGGTTGTGTGTGAAGGTTTGTGTGGGGTTGTGTGTGAAGGTTTGTGTGGGGTTGTGTGTGAAGGTTTGTGTGGGGTTGTGTGTGAAGGCTTGTGTAGGGTTGTGTGTGAAGGCTTGTGTGGGGTTGTGTGTGAAGGCTTGTGTGGGGTTGTGTGTGAAGGCTTGTGGAGGTCCTAATACCTGATTGAGTCTAGGTCCAAATGTTTGTGTGGGGTTGTGTGTGAAGGTTTGTGTGGGGTTGTGTGTGAAGGTTTGTGTGGGGTTGTGTGTGAAGGTTTGTGTGGGGTTGTGTGTGAAGGTTTGTGTGGGGTTGTGTGTGAAGGTTTGTGTGGGGTTGTGTGTGAAGGCTTGTGGAGGTCCTAATACCTGATTGAGTCTAGGTCCAAATGTTTGGGTGGGGTTGTGTGTGAAGGTTTGTGTGGGGTTGTGTGTGAAGGTTTGTGTGGGGTTGTGTGTGAAGGTTTGTGTGGGGTTGTGTGTGAAGGCTTGTGTAGGGTTGTGTGTGAAGGCTTGTGTGGGGTTGTGTGTGAAAGCGTGTGTGGGGTTGTGTGTGAAGGCTTGTGTGGGGTTGTGTGTGAAAGCGTGTGTGGGGTTGTGTGTGAAGGCTTGTGTGGGGTTGTGTGTGAAGGCTTGTGGAGGTCCTAATACCTGATTGAGTCTAGGTCCAAATGTTTGTGTGGGGTTGTGTGTGAAGGTTTGTGTGGGGTTGTGTGTGAAGGTTTGTGTGGGGTTGTGTGTGAAGGTTTGTGTGGGGTTGTGTGTGAAGGCTTGTGGAGGTCCTAATACCTGATTGAGTCTAGGTCCAAATGTTTGTGTGGGGTTGTGTGTGAAGGTTTGTGTGGGGTTGTGTGTGAAGGTTTGTGTGGCATTGTGTGTGAAGGCTTGTGTAGGGTTGTGTGTGAAGGTTTGGGTGGGGTTGTGTGTGAAGGTTTGTGTGGGGTTGTATGTGAAGGTTTGTGTGTGGTTGTGTGTGAAGGCTTGTGTGGGGTTGTGTGTGAAGGTTTGGGTGGGGTTGTGTGTGAAGGTTTGTGTGGGGTTGTGTGTGAAGGTTTGGGGCGGTCCTAAAACCTGATTGAGTCTAGGTCCAAATGTTTGGGTGGGGTTGTGAGAACCCCGGCAGTTTAGCCTCGGTTCTATGGCGCTGTGTGGGTAATGTGTGTGACTTAGGGGGGTAAGGATAATAATACCTGCGGGGACTGCTGTTTTTTAAAGTGTAGGGATGGGGACTTTTTTTTTTTAAAGTGTGACCTTTAGGCTAATCACATTGACGTAAACAGCTGTGTTAAATTTAATATTCAACAACACACGATCTATTTGCGACCTACAGTGAAAATGTATGCGGCTAGAATAAAAAAAATATCCCATTACAAGCAGGTAACGCCCAAATATTTTGATAAGTAAAAAACAAATTAAAAGTTGATGTAACCCCATACTGAGTGTAATTAAAACCAAATATCGGTGGTAGGACTAGAATAAAGCAGGCTTATGATTGGTTGCGGTGGGGGCTGTAGGTAGTCATATGATGGGTTGCGGTGGGGGTTGGTGGGGTTGTAGGTAGTCATATGATTGGTGGCGTTGGGGGTTGGAGGGTTGTAGGTAGTCATGTGATTAGCAGCGGTGGGGGTTGGTGGGGTTGGGCGTCAACTCGTGGTTGTAGGTATTCAACTAGGTGTGGGCTAGCAGTGGATTACACATGGGCTGTTGATGGACTAGTAGTGGTAGAGTAGTGGTAGAGTTGTGGTAGAGTAGTGGTAGAGTAGTGGTAGAGTAGTGGGCCGTTAGAGAGCCAGTAGTGGACCAGTAATGAGCTGTTATTTGATTAGCAATGCGTTTTTAAATGGGCTAGTAGTAAGCTAATAATGAACACGTATTTAACAAGTTACAGCCTAGTAATGGGCTAGTGTTGGGCTAGTGTTGGGCTAGTGTTGGGTTAGTGTTGGGCTAATGTTGGGCTAGTGTTGGGCTAGTGTTGGGTTAGTGTTGGGCTAGTGTTGGGCTAGTGTTGGGCTAGTGTTGGGTTAGTGTTGGGTTAGTGTTGGGTTAGTGTTGGGCTAGTGTTGGGCTAGTGTTGGGCTAGTGTTGGGTTAGTGCTGGGCTAGTGCTGGGCTAGTGTTGGGGTAGTGTTGGGCTAGTGTTGGGCTAGTGTTGGGTTAGTGTAGCGCTAGTGTTGGGCTAGTGTTGGGCTAGTGTTGGGCTAGTGTTGGGCTAGTGTTGGGGTAGTGTTGGGCTAGTGTTGGGTTAGTGTTGGGGTAGTGTTGGGCTAGTGTTGGGGTAGCGTTGGGCTAATGTTGGGGTAGTGTTGATCTAGTGTTGGGCTAATGTTGGGCTAGTGTTGGGCTAGTGTTGGGTTAGTGTTGGGTTAGTGTTGGGCTAGTGTTGGGTTAGTGTTGGGTTAGTGTTGGGTTAGTGTTGGGCTAATGTTGGGGTAGTGTTGGGGTAGTGTTGGGGTAGTGTTGGACTAGTGTTGGGCTAGTGTTGGGTTAGTGTTGGGTTAGTGTTGGGTTAGTGTTGGGGTTGCAGTGAACACGCAATGAAAAACTAATGGGTTAGTGATGAACTAGTAGTTAATTATTAATGAGCTAGAAATGGGCTAGCAAATGACCACTAGTGGACTAGTAATGACATCTAATAATGACAGCACGATGAAATAAAATACATATTCCAATTATTACACTATTCTTACTTCTAGTTAAATTTCCATCACCTCCTAGCATTTAAAAGTAAGTTAACATTACACCTGTACCTATTCTCTAGCTTGTAACAAGACATAGACCTACCTGTCTTATAGTAAGGTCTTAAAGAAGAAAATGGCATCCGAACTGTGAAATGGCCCAGGTCTTAAAGTCAACTGGACCAGGTTTACACCTGTTTTAAAGTCAACTGGACAATCACATTAGCACCTGTTACATTTACGTCCCTCCATAATGACGTCATAGAAATTGAATACACATCTAAGTATCCTTTACTTGTCCACGTACTTAGACTAAGCTATGGTTAACTTGGGTCTGCGCCGCTACATGTATTGAGACACTTCAAGTTGTAGGGGGCGCTATACATGAGCAGCTAATAAAGACAGACCGGCAAGAGGTCTAGTTGATTGACGCAAGGAACGAGAACTCCGTTTGAAAGAAATATATCGACTCCACACTGAGTGAAATAAATTTTACTGACTTCAATATTGACTTTTGTTCCGCTTGTCAATTCAACTTTTTAATAACAGTGTCGGCTGACAAAAAAAGTTAACTGTGGGGAGGGTTGGCGAGAGTTGGCTTTGAACGTCTTTACCTCCATAGACTAAAGAGCTTTCATGGGGAGCTATCGACGCGTTTCGTCATTAGCTTTCTATGTTTTATTTGGTGATTAAAAAGACGAATGTCTCCGCGGACTGTCATGGGGATCGTGTCAACAAATTCGTGTTGTTGTTGAACTCTGGTTACTAGTGTTCGCCCAGTGGGAAAAAAATAATGTATAAGAGCTCATTAGCTAATCGGGTTTTTAAAAATTAAATTGGACTTTTTCCAAATTGTTAACGCGCAGTTTATATTATAAAACAAGAACATTATTGGAGAGAGTTGGAACGAAACGGGTAAAAAACGGTAAAAAAACAACAGTACGGGTTTAATAATTAGCCTCTGCTCCATGGGGAGTTGAAAAAAGTCGTAGAAAAAGTTTCACAAATGTTGTATGTGTAGGAACACAGAGGATTCAAGTAAAACTAATTAGCTGTTGTTTTAAGCAAATAAATCAGGGACTAAAAATAGATTTTGGTTTACCCACAATCCCTGGGAAAAGGGATGATCGCGATCATGTGACTCCGGACTACAGTACACGATTCATCATTTCACTGTTGAGGCCAAATGAACACGCACAAATCGCATTAAAGAGATGTCACGGCAGCCGGCAGTAGTCGAAATGTTGCCTCGATTGACCGGCACTGCCGGCTAAGTTTGAGTGATGTTGAGCTCTCCCATAGCACCACACTGCTTCATTAGGTCTCGCCACCCGCCCCTCCACACGTCCCCCTCCACACGTCCCCCTCCACCCTCCACCCGCCCCCTCCACCCGTCCCTCTCCACCCGTCCCCCTCCACCCGTCCCCCACGATCCGACCACTAATTCACAACCTACACTAAACTAACCCACCCCCCACGCATCTCCACCCACCCATCCCCCCCCCCCCACGCACCCCCACCCACCCACACACGCACACATAATTACTGTGTATGGTTGAGATACAACAACACAACATTTAATTCAAACTAACGAGTCACGACAACCAGGGGCGTAGCGACCCATCCCGACCCCCTCGGTGTCTACTAATTTTGCGCCCCGCACTTACACATAATTTAGAAAGGTTGGGGGAGCTTTTGGCCAGTAAGTGTTACTCAACACCTTTTATTTTGGCGTAACATAATTGATGTGCAAGACAGTGCAAGTCCTTAAACTCAAGCTGTAATTATTTTTTAAACTCCGCCTGTGTATAATTCAGAAATAGAGCCTTAGAAGGAGCGAATTATTTAATTTTCTACCCCAAATTATTTAATTTGGCGCCCCCGGGGGTGGGCTCCCGGGGTGGTAACCCACCCGCCCTCCCCTAGCTACGCCACTGAACCTTAATACAAGACCAGTGTCAATAAACCTTAACAACCCTTGTAAAAAAAATGGCCTCACCGATTTCATATTTCGATCATCCCGCTAAACATTTATTCCACAAAAGTTTGGCCTACCAAACGACATGAGCGTACAAAAAGTGTACCTATTCAAGCGTGACTAGCTCTCTCCACAGCACTCCGCTTCTACACGCGCTGTGTTCAGTCAAGCGGAACATGGCTTCCGGTGCATCTCGTGGTTACGGTCGACTGAGTTCAGATGTTAACACCTCACCTAGACCTCATTCATACCTAACATAGACCTCACTTAGACCTCACCTAGACCTGAGACCTCACCTACACCTCAGCTAAACCTCACCTAGACCTCACCTGGACCTCACCTAGACCTCACCTAGACCTCACCTAGACCTGAGACCTCACCAAGACCTCACCTAGACCTCACTTAGACCTGAGACCTCACCTAGACATCACCTGGACCTCACCTAGACCTCACCTAGACCTCACCTAGACCTCACCTAGACCTGAGACCTCACCTAGACACCATCTGGACCTCACCTAGACCTCCCCCCCCCTTCCACTGAATATACACTACCCTAAGACCTCCCCACACCCAGCACTTTCCATCGACATAATACGATCGTTGCTCGGATTTGTTAACCCCCCCCCCCCCTCGCCCCCTATTTAGAGTCGTTGTTCGGGTCGGAAATCAAACGTGCATTGCTCAACAGACGGCAACCCGTTAGGCAGACGGCAACCCGTTAGGCAGACGGCAACCCGTTAGGCAGACGGCAACAAGCTAGGCAGACGGCAACAAGCGGGGCAGGTGACAAAACGAAACTAACGGAAATTGTATGCGCATGTCAGCAGCGACTGAAGTAGCCAGAAAACGTTTCCGTCAACATAAAGGTCAAGGTTAAATGGCGTGAGTTGTTTATTCTGGTTCTTTTGTTCCTATCACAACCAAAGTAAGTGTCATAAGCGCACACACATCTACACACACAAACACACATACGTGTAGTTTCTAACTGAGAAATTCCATCACGTGATTACCGTCATCAGATACACGGCTATTAAACGTTAAGGCACGGGGACCCCCACTCCTCCTTCCTGCCCCCACCCCTCTGTCCCCAGTGTTCCAGACTTTTTTCTCCGGGGAGGGGGGGGGGGGCACTTGAAATTTCGGGGGGGGGGGGCGGTAGACTTTCTTCAGGGGGGCGGACACTGTTAAAAGTATATATTTTCTATATAAATTATATAAATTTCATTTCGTTCGGGGGGGGGGGGGGGGGGGCGGTAAAAAAAATTCGGGGGGGGGGGGCTTTTCTCCCCCCGAAGAGATGCCTGGAAGAAACTTTGTCTGTCCCCACCCCTCCTTCCTGCCCCCACCCCTCTGTCCCCACCCCTCTGCCTTCTATTCCCGCACAGAATAAATAAGTAAACAGCCAAAAGGCCAGTCGCTCTCAGCACGCGTTGGTCGCGCGCTCAAAAACCTGAATGTGTGAACGATGACCTTCAAATCGCGGTCAGTGGGAGCTTTGCGTGTCACGTGGGTCCCGTGGGGGGTCATGAAGGTTATATGTTTGTCACGTGGGTTCTATGGGTGTCACGTGGGTCAGAGGGATCAGAAGACTGTCGTAACATGAAGTGTGACGTCACTCTGGCAAAAGTTAGTTTTGTCAAGTTGGTTAGTATTGTCAAAACTTGGCAAAATCTGCCACACTATTTTAGTTTGGTGTTCATTATGCTCGACCTTTTTAAACATAGGCGTATCTAGATAGGGGGGGGGGCTAAACGGGTAGGGGGAAAAATCTCATTCTGATTAACTGTTTTCTACAGAGATTTTCTGACACCAAAATAAAAATACATTATGGGAAAGTGACTGGTAAAAAACGCCCAGATTATCTTTGGCCACACAACCACCATGGCCACACAACCACCATGGCCACACAACCACCATGGCCACACAACCACCATGGCCACACAACCACCATGGCCACACAACCACCATGGCCACACAACCACCATGGCCACACAACCACCATGGCCTCACAACCACCATGGCCACAAAACCACCATGGCCACACATATAACATGGCCACACAACCACCATGGCCACACAACCACCATGGCCACACATATAACATGGCCACACAACCACCATGGCCACACAACCACCATGGCCACACACATAAAATGGCCACACAACCACCATGGCCACACAACCACCATGGCCACACAACCACCATGGCCACACAACCACCATGGCCACACAACCACCATAGCCACACACATAACATGGCCACACAACCACCATGGCCACACACATAACATGGCCACACAACCACCATGGCCACACAACCACCATGGCCACACAACCACCATGGCCACACAACCACCATGGCCACACATATAACATGGCCACACAACCACCATGGCCACACAACCACCATGGCCACACACATAAAATGGCCACACAACCACCATGGCCACACAACCACCATGGCCACACAACCACCATGGCCACACACATAAAATGGCCACACAACCACCATGGCCACACAACCACCATGGCCACACAACCACCATGGCCACACAACCACCATAGCCACACACATAACATGGCCACACACACATAACATGGCCACACAACCACCATGGCCACACAACCACCATGGCCACACAACCACCATGGCCACACACATAAAATGGCCACACAACCACCATGGCCACACAACCACCATGGCCACACAACCACCATGGCCACACAACCACCATGGCCACACAACCACCATGGCCACACACATAACATGGCCACACAACCACCATAGCCACACACATAACATGGCCACTGTTGGGTTCTGGAATCTAGGGTATATATATATGTAGCGACAAACAAAGACAACTAAGACTATATAAATATAATAATAACAATAAGATGTTTAATATAAATGTATACAGTAATAAGAATAATAAAAGAGCAAATGGAGTCTACAACATAAAATAACAAGATACTCAACGTCTCCCCGTCCACAGCCACAGCACAACTTCACATCCAGATCTCAACCCCCACGTTCCACGTTCCACGTCCACAGCCACACTACAACTAACTGATTCACACACTAGCACACGCTCTGACACCCGTCACCTGACACACCTCACGTGAACACCTCTCGCTCCATGTAAACACACTCAACCAAGGGATACAACTATACACCAAAGGGAGGGTACCTGTCGTTCCAGCACACAACACACACACACACAAGCAGGGGACATGTAAGGGACGTAACATCCCTCCCCTCCACCTTCAGATCTCTTTTCCTTAAAGAGATCAAACATCTCTTGTTCCATTAGCCACTGTTGGTGCCCGAGCTCGACTATGTATTCTTCAGCCCTTAGGACGCCTCGCTTTGACCGTGTGGCTTGTATCCAGCCTGGACAGTTTGATCCAGAGTGTGGCTTGTATCCAGCCTGGACAGTTCGGTCCAGAGTGTGTCTTGTATCCAGCCTGGACAGTTTGATCCAGAGTGTGGCTCGCATCCAGCTTTAACATTTCGGTCCTGAGTGTGGACTATGGTTTTCTCCGGCCGGGCACCAAGCTTGTGGTCTGACTATCTCAACCTATGAAGATACATGTGAGAAGCCACAATAAAAAATTTGATTTGCATAATCATTCTAAACTGCATCAGTAATACCTTTCTCAAACATTTCTCAATATAATTATATTATAATGCCTCAATAGTAAATTCCTTAACATAATCATACTATACTCCAACAATAATACATTTCTCAATATCATATACACTAGTTGTCGTAAAACACTCGTGATAGAATATCTGCTACAAAGTTCTCAGTTCCCTTGATATGTTTCACAGTACAGGCTGTTTCCTGTAGTGTAAGGGCCCATCGGCAGATGCGTACGTCGCCATAGATGGTCATCTTTTCTTAAAGGCGATCAAACTGAGTTCCTTTCTCGATAGCCGTTTTAACTACATTAATCATCTCCAGCCCGTAATCATCGTACACAGCTTCTGTAAAAAAAAACAGAAAAATTTACATTGATTGAATAAATTATCTTAACAAAAAACTTACCAAGGACACTACCTTTGTAAGGATACGCCTCCAAATTTCGTGCTTTACCTCACTCTCATATGCGAGTCTTTAAGCAGGGAAAAATTTCCTAACATATCACGCTGAGCTGTGGGACACACCCGTGATATGTGACCAACACCACCGCAGCAATAACACTTGAGATCATCTGACCGTCGATGTACATTTTCAGTACGCCAGTTGCTCGCTCCACTGGTCCCATTGGGACAGTTTCGTTGTATGTGGCCTGGCTTTCTACAGCTATAACAGGCGCCTGTATCTATATCCCTACTGCACTCTTTGGCAATATGACCTTGTTCATTGCACTTGTAGCACCGATAAGGTCTTTTGTTGTTTCCATACTCCACAACCGCTCTTTTATCTGACCTATTTCTCCAAGGAAAACCGCTATTACTATTGCTATGACAATCCCTGGCATAGTGTCCATAACGTCCACATGTGTAGCATTTACTGCTCAGACTGACCTTGCTGACACCATGCATCGGTTGTAAACCAGCTTGTCGTGCCTGTCGTTTACCTGATTCGCTAGAGGTATGACAGACTCCCGCTATATGGTCAACTCCCCCGCATGAGTAGCACACAATTGCTTCCGTGGAAGGACAAGTGTGGCGTCCTGGAGATCGCGGTGTCTTGTTTTGCCAGGGTATCCTCTCTGCTGTCGAACTAGCAGCGACGTACGGAGGGGTTTTGTTTACTCTAGCGTTTTGAGTGCTCTTATAGTTGTCAATAACTTTAAGATTATCTTCCACACTTACCTTAGCAGCACCATTCAGCCTCTCCAACAGATCACCAGTAACAACTGATTTCATCCGATCAACTATCAGGAGGTTCACCAAGTCCTCAAACGTTTCCTTTATTCCCGACTGCTGGACCCACGCTCTCAAAGCGGCTTCTGTGTTGACTGCGAAGCTTCTCATGTCGTCGTGTGTTGGTACTAGCTGGTGGAATCTGACCCTATACTTTTCCTCGTTGAAACCTGCGTGCGTGAATAACTTTACCTTTACTGACTCGAAGTCATGATGCAGGTTCAGTCCCGTCTCAACGAGGAAAGTCTTCAGTTGTCCACTCATCTTGTCCGTCAGAAGGAGCGACCAGTCCTTGGGGTCAATGCCTTGTCTCTTTGCCTGACTCACAAAATGCCTCACATACGCACCCAGGTCTTCGTCCACCGTCATCGCCGCCACATCCCTCAAGCGGGGTACAGGGTTACATACCTTTGCTACAACCTCGACCTTCGCATCTTCCACCCTCCTCAACTCTTCCTTCACCCACTCCGCCAAACTGTCATCGGTCAGCCCAATTAGCTTTCCCTCCTCCTTCAAATCACTTATTAGCTGTCTTCTGGCACTCCTGGTAGTAGCCATGCTAAACGGACGAGCCCCCAAATGTTGGGTTCTGGAATCTAGGGTATATATATATGTAGCGACAAACAAAGACAACTAACACTATATAAATATAATAATAACAATAAGATGTTTAATATAAATGTATACAGTAATAAGAATAATAAAAGAGCAAATGGAGTCTACAACATAAAATAACAAGATACTCAACGTCTCCCCGTCCACAGCCACAGCACAACTTCACATCCAGATCTCGACCCCACGTTCCACGTTCCACGTCCACAGCCACACTACAACTAACTGATTCACACACTAGCACACGCTCTGACACCCGTCACCTGACACACCTCACGTGAACACTTCTCGCTCCCTGTAAACACACTCAACCAAGGGATACAACTATACACCAAAGGGAGGGTACCTGTCGTTCCAGCACACAACACACACACACACAAGCAGGGGACATGTAAGGGACGTAACAGCCACACACATAAAATGGCCACACAACCACCATGGCCACACACCCACCATGGCCACACAACCACCATGGCCACACAACCACCATGGCCACACAACCACCATGGCCACACAACCACCATGGCCACACACATAACATGGCCACACAACCACCATGGCCACACAACCACCATGGCCACACAACCATCATGGCCACACAACCACCATGGCCACACAACCACCATGGCCACACACATAACATGGCCACACAACCACCATGGCCAATCAACCATCATGGCCACACAACCACCATGGCCACACAACCACCATGGCCACACAACCACCATGGCCACACAACCACCATGGCCACACAACCACCATGGCCACACAGCCACCATGGCCACACACATAACATGGCCACACAACCACCATGGCCACACAACCACCATGGCTACACACATAACATGGCCACACAACCACCATGGCCAATCAACCATCATGGCCACACAACCACCATGGCCACACAACCACCATGGCCACACAACCACCATGGCCACACAACCACCATGGCCACACAACCACCATGGCCACACAACCACCATGGCCACACAACCACCATGGCCACACAGCCACCATGGCCACACACATAACATGGCCACACAACCAACATGGCCACACAACCACCATGGCCACACACATAACATGGCCACACACATAACATGGCCACACACATAACATGGCCACACAACCACCATGGCCACACAACCACCATGGCCACACACATAACATGGCCACACAACCACCATGGCCACACACATAACATGGCCACACACATAACATGGCCACACAACCACCATGGCCACACAACCACCATGGCCACACAACCACCATGGCCACACACATAACATGGCCACACACATAACATGGCCACACAACCACCATGGCCATACAACCACCATGGCCACACAACCACCATGGCCACACAACCACCATGGCCACACACGTAACATGGCCACACAACCACCATGGCCACACAACCACCATGGCCACACAACCACCATGACCACACAACCACCATGGCCACACACATAACATGGCCACACACATAACATGGCCACACAACCACCATGACCACACAACCACCATGGCCACACAACCACCATGGCCACACAACCACCATGGTCACACAACCACCATGGCCACACACATAACATGGCCACACAACCACCATGGCCACACAACCACCATGGCCACACACATAACATGGCCACACAACCAACATGGACACACAACCACCATGGCCACACACATAACATGGCCACACACATAACATGGCCACACAACCACCATGGCCACACACATAACATGGCCACACACATAACATGGCCACACACATAACATGGCCACACAACAACCATGGCCACACACATAACAATGCCACACAACCACCATGGCCACTCACATAACATGGCCACACAACCACCATGGCCACACAACCATCATGGCCACACAACCACCATGGCCACAAAACCACCATGGCCACACACATAACATGGCCACACACATAACATGGCCACACAACCAACATGGCCACACAACCACCATGGCCACACACATAACATGGCCACACACATAACATGGCCACACACATAACATGGCCACACAACCACCATGGCCACACAACCACCATGGCCACACACATAACATGGCCACACAACCACCATGGCCACACACATAACATGGCCACACACATAACATGGCCACACAACCACCATGGCCACACACATAACATGGCCACACAATCACCATGGCCACACAACCACCATGGCCACACAACCACCATGGCCACACACATAACATGGCCACACCCATAACATGGCATCACAACCACCATGGCCACACAACCACCATGGCCACACAACCACCATGGCCACACACATAACATGGCCACACAACTACCATGGCCACACAACCACCATGGTCACACAACCACCATAGCCACACACATAACATGGCCACAAAACCACTATAGCCACACACATAACATGGCCACACACATAACATGGCCACACAACCACCATGTCCACACAACCACCATGGTCACACAACCACCATGGCCACACAACCACCTTGGCCACACAACCACCATGGCCACACACATAACATGGCCACACAACCACCATGGCCACACAACCACCATGACCACACACATAAAATGGCCACACAACCACCATGGCCACACAACCACCATGGCCACACAACCACCATGGCCACACACATAACATGGCCACACACATAACATGGCCACACACATAACATGGCCACACACATAACATGGCCACACAACCACCATGGCCACACAACCAACATGGCCACACACATAACATGGCCACACAACCACCATGGCCACACACATAACATGGCCACACAACCACCATGGCCACACAACCAACATGGCCACACACATAACATGGCCACACAACCACCATGGCCACACACATAACATGGCCACACACATAACATGGCCACACAACCACCATGGCCACACAACCACCATGGCCACACACATAACATGGCCACACACATAACATGGCCACACAACCACCATGGCCACACAACCACCATGGCCACACACATAACATGGCCACACAACCATCATGGCCACACAACCACCATGGCCACACAACCACCATGGCCACACAACCACCATGGCCACACAACCACCATGGCCACACAACCACCATGGCCACACAACCAACATGGCCACACACATAACATGGCCACACAACCACCATGGCCACACAACCACCATGGCCACACAACCACCATGGCCACACAACCACCATGGCCACACAACCACCATGGCCACACAACCAACATGGCCACACACATAACATGGCCACACAACCAACATGGCCACACAACCACCATGGCCACACACATAACATGGCCACACAACCACCATGGCCACACAACCACCATGGCCACACAAACACCATGGCCACACAATCACCATGGCCACACAACCACCATGGCCACACACATAACATGGCCACACAACCACCATGGCCACACAACCACCATGGTCACACACATAACATGGCCACACACATAACATGGCCACACAACCACCATGGCCACACAACCACCATGGCCACACACATAACATGGCCACACAACCATCATGGCCACACAACCACCATGGCCACACACATAACATGGCCACACACATAACATGGCCACACAACCACCATGGCCACACACATAACATGGCCACACAACCACCATGGCCACACAACCACCATGGCCACACAAACACCATGGCCACACAATCACCATGGCCACACAACCACCATGGCCACACACATAACATGGCCACACAACCACCATGGCCACACACATAACATGGCCACACAACCACCATGGCCACACAACCACCATGGCCACACACATAACATGGCCAAACAACCACCATGGCCACACAACCACCATGGCCACACACATAACATGGCCACACACATAACATGGCCACACAACCACCATGGCCACACAACCACCATGGCCACACACATAACATGGCCACACACATAACATGGCCACACACGTAACATGGCCACACAACCACCATGGCCACACAACCACCATGGCCACACACATAACATGGCCACACACATAACTAGGCCACACACATAACATGGCCACACAATCACCATGGCCACACAACCACCATGGCCACACAACCAACATGGCCACACAACCACCATGGCCACACAACCACCATGGCCACACAACCACCATGGCCACACACATAACATGGCCACACAACCACCATGGCCACACAACCACCATGGCCACACACATAACATGGCCACACAACCACCATGGCCACACAACCACCATGGCCACACACATAACATGGCCACACACATAACATGGCCACACAACCACCATGGCCACACACATAACATGGCCACACAACCACCATGGCCACACAACCACCATGGCCACACAACCACCATGGCCACACACATAACATGGCCACACACATAACATGGCCACACACATAACATGGCCACACAACCACCATGGCCACACAACCACCATGGCCACACAACCACCATGGCCACACACATAACATGGCCACACAACCACCATGGCCACACAACCACCATGGCCACACAACCACCATGGCCACACACATAACATGGCCACACAACCACCATGGCCACACAACCACCATGGCCACACACATAACATGGCCACACAACCACCATGGCCACACACATAACATGGCCACACAACCACCATGGCCACACAACCACCATGGCCACACAACCACCATGGCCACACAACCACCATGGCCACACAACCACCATGGCCACACACATAACATGGCCACACACATAACATGGCCACACAACCACCATGGCCACACACATAACATGGCCACACACATAACATGGCCACACAACCACCATGGCCACACACATAACATGGCCACACACATAACATGGCCACACAACCACCATGGCCACACAACCATCATGGCCACACAACCACCATGGCCACACAACCATCATGGCCACACAACCACCATGGCCACACAACTACCATGGCCACACACATAACATGGCCACACAACCACCATGGCCACACAACCATCATGGCCACACAACCACCATGGCCACACAACCACCATGGCCACACACATAACATGGCCACACAACCACCATGGCCACACAACCACCATGGCCACACAACCACCATGGCCACACACATAACATGGCCACACAA